ATGATTTAATGGAAAACTGATTAAGGGATTTGAAGTTTTGACTTTTCAAATTGTTCATAATCTTCTAGTTTTCCACAACTTTTCTTGACTTGTCTGATCCTCCAAGCTATCACACACCAACCCGAAATGCCGTTATAAAAACAGTGGGTAACAACCACGTTCTGCAGAATTCATCAAATTTTCATATATGCATTTGGTATATTTTATAGCAAGTGATTTTTGACTTGGTATTTTCTAATCCATATATTTGATATATTCTGAATTCTTAATTGGTCTCTGATCAGCCTTCTCCAACCCTTTTCTCTTTCTCTATGTGGTAGAGACAATATGAGCAGCCCAAGTTCAGTACTTGCTATACTTTGCCTTCTCTGCTTTCTTAATGGCCAGGGAATGATTGCAAAGGTGGCTGCAAATAGCCAAGTATGTTATATATATGTTTCCACATCTCAAACACTTGCTCTTGTTCTTTAAGGTTTTCGTTTTTGTTTTCTTCCTTTTTTTCTTGAATATGGTGTTCTGATATATCGCTCAACCAACAGGTACACATTGTTTATCTGGGAGAGAAGCAGCATGACAACCCCAAGTTGCTCACAGATTCACATCATGATTTGCTTGCCACCATAGCGGGAAGGTAATTTACATGGATTTAGGAAAAGAAAGACCAATTCTGTGAATTTGAAATCTAGGATGCTTAAATGATCCAAATCTTGAGTAAAATGTTTACTAAGTAATTTGGTTCTTATGCTGCAGCAAGGAATTGGCCTCAGAATTAATGGTATACAGTTATAGACATGGTTTCTCTGGGTTTGCAGCCAAGCTCACAGAGTCTCAAGCCCAAAAACTTTCAGGTATATTTTAAAAAGTATTGCTATATATGGGTGCAGCAAAGATATGTCTGGTTTGCAATGATTGACAATTATTTACAATATAGATATGTAATGGATTCATGAGCTATACCTTCAGATGCCATCGTTAAGTATTGTGCTTATTGTTGCTTTTTTATGCTTATGAAATGGTGAACTCTAGAGCTGCCTGGTGTTGTTCGAGTCATACCGAATAGTCTTCACAAGCTGCAAACGACTAGGAGTTGGGATTTTCTTGGCCTCTCTTCTCAATCCCCTTCCAATATTCTTCACAAGAGCAGCATGGGTGATGGAGTTATCATAGGTGTCCTTGACACAGGTTGCTCTCTTTCTTTCTCTTAAATAAGTGCACACACACGCACACACTCATACTCCTACTTATGTAATGGTCCCTGAACACAAGCACTCAATGAAACAGGTATTTGGCCAGAGTCTGAATCATTCAATGAAAAAGGCCTGGGGCCAGTTCCATCCCACTGGAAGGGTGTATGTGAATCTGGAGACAGATTCAATGCTACAATACACTGCAATAGAAAAATCATTGGAGCCCGCTGGTTCATCGATGGACTTCTTGCCGAGTATGGAAAACCACTGAACAGGTCTACAGAGTTCTTGTCTCCCAGAGATGCACATGGACATGGTACTCACACTTCTAGCACTGCAGCTGGTTCTTTTGTGACCAATGTGAGCTACAAGGGCCTTGGTCATGGGACAATCAAAGGGGGTGCCCCAAATGCTAGGTTGGCCATTTACAAGGTTTGCTGGAAAGTTCTTGGAGGCCAATGCTCATCAGCTGATATATTGAAAGCTTTTGATGAAGCCATACATGATGGGGTTGATGTGTTGTCATTGTCAATTGGGTCTTCAATTCCCCTCTTCTCAGAGGTTGATGAGCGTGACGGCATTGCAACTGGTTCCTTTCATGCTGTGGCCAGGGGAATTACTGTTGTTTGTGGAGCAGCAAATGATGGACCTTCAGCTGAGATGGTTCAGAACACAGCGCCATGGATCATAACCGTAGCAGCAAGCACCATGGATCGATCATTTCCTACTTCAATAACTTTAGGAAATAACAAAACTTTCTTGGTATGTATTTCTGTGATTGTGGCAAATAACATTCTTGGTATGCATTTCCAACTTCAAGCATATACTTTGTTTTTTATGTAGGGACAAGCTATGTTTACAGGGCCAGAGATTGGATTTGCAAGCTTGATATACCCAGAATCCAAAGGGCTTGACCCTACTGCCGCAGGGTAACATGATCTGTAACTTTGTAATACATCCCCCAAATTAGCTTAACAATATGTATTTACGTATAGTTCATTTTCATGAGTTACCCTTTTGCAGTGTGTGCCAATCCCTGTCATTTAACAAAACTATGGTGGCTGGAAAGGTGGTTCTTTGCTTCACTACAGTCAGTCGTAGGACAGCGATAACAAGTGCTTCAGCAGCTGTGAAAGAAGCCGGTGGTGTTGGCCTCATCGTAGCAAAGAATCCAAGTGACGCCTTATATCCATGTAATGAAGACTTCCCATGCATTGAAGTTGACTATGAAATTGGCACCCGAATACTGTTTTACATCCGATCTACCAGGTAACATTGATTAATTATCGTCCTTGTTGACACCGCGATTATTATGGCTAGGTTTGTTTGTGACCCTCAAGTTTTGTTTGGAATGCACAGATCTCCTCTTGTAAAATTGACACCTCCTAAAACATTTATTGGCAAGCCACTCTCAGCCAAGGTGGCTTATTTTTCATCTAGGGGGCCAAACTCCATTACACCAGCAATTCTTAAGGTATGTATCCACACTACACTGAATGCAAATGTTTAATATATAAAAGGCAGGGGGCCTATGTAGTTCTTGTCCACATAAATCTTTCTCTACTTACCCTGGACACCTATATAAACCAGACAACAAAGTGAAATTTTGCCTGCGAAAGTTTTAGTAAATTGAACACTAAACATGTTTTTCAAGAGATCATCTATTTTTCCTTATGTTACTGGAAAGCTCTCAAAGTTTTGTCTCCTATAACATTTGCTAGTTCCTTCTTCAAATTTAGAGAGAAGTCCATGTCTATGCTCAAATTTCGCTCTGGGATTCACCATATAAACTCTTCTTATATCATCTTCTTGTGATTTTTCTGTTGGACAGCCAGATATAGCTGCCCCTGGTGTGAACATTCTGGCGGCAACTTCTCCACTTGATGCACTAGGGGAGGGTGGACATGTCATGCACTCAGGAACATCAATGTCAACTCCTCATGTCGCAGGCATTGTGGCTCTTCTCAAAGCAATGCATCCCAATTGGTCTCCGGCAGCCATTAAATCGGCACTTGTCACAACTGGTAACCACATGATCACATGTTCCTAATTCCATTAATGATACATGCTAAACTTAACCATGTTCTAAATTTTCATGCAGCATGGAGGAATGGCCCATCTGGTTTACCGATCTTCGCAGAGGGATCGCCTCAAAAGCTGGCAAATCCGTTCGATTTTGGAGGCGGCATTATGAACCCCAATGGAGCAGCAGACCCTGGTTTAGTATATGACATAGGCAAAGCCGGCTACATGCAATATCTCTGTTCAAGGGGCTACAACAACTCTGCCATCTCTAGGCTTGTAGGGCAGAACACAAAATGTCCCATTAAGAAGCCCTCTATCCTTGACATGAACCTACCCTCCATAACCATACCAAGTCTCAAAAATCCCATCACAATAAAAAGAAGTGTAACAAACGTGGGAGCCCCTGAATCCATTTACAGAGCTACAATTGAGACTCCATTTGGTACAATTGTATCTGTAAATCCCAATGCTCTGGTCTTCAACTCTACAGTTCGAAAGCTCGATTTCACGATCACAATCTCCGCGATCCACAGGATGAATACTGGATACTATTTTGGAAGCCTTAGCTGGGCTGATGGAGTGCATGTTGTAAGGATTCCTTTGTCTGTGAGGACAGAGTTTTTGCAACCTTATGATGCAAATGACTGAATTGAATAGTGAAATGAGGGAGTGCATTCACTTTAAGCCTATCTTCTCATATCTATATAAAACAGGACTTCAATCATTCGTCTACCCAAAAAAAAAAAAAAAA